ATGTACGTAACTTCCTCATTTCACTTCCTCACTACCCATCACATTTTCTGAGGCCCTGAAATGCCAGGATCGCACCAACCCCCCCCCCCCCTTTTTTGGAAGTAGACACCCCAATGAATTTAAAAAGAGGCATGGTGAGTATTTTGCAGATCTCATTTTCTCTCACAAGGTTTTGAAATATAAAAAAAAAAGAAAAAATATGTTTTTGTTTTTCTTTCTTCATTTCCAAAAACTTGTGGCAACAAATGAGATCTGCAAATCCCATTAAAAGCCTGAGGGTGCTTATTGGATTTTAGGGTCCTGTACTTGGCTAGACTGCCAAAAAGTCTCTCATACCCTCATACTCAGGAGAAGTAGCAGAATGTATTTTGGGGAGTAATTCCACATATACCCATGGCATGTGTGAGCAATAAATCATTTAAGAGACAATGTGTAACAAAAAATTTTTTTTTTTTTTGGCATTTTCCAAAAACTTGTGTTAAAAAAATAAATTATTCTATTGACTCAACATGCCTCTCAGCAAATAGTTTGGGGTGTCTACTTTCCAGAAAGGGGTCATTTTGGGGGGGGGGGGCATTTTATGCCTAGCATTAGAAGTTTATGCCACACATCATTCACTCTTCTAACCACCTGAACACCAAGTCTTCTCTGACACTTTTTGTTCCCATGAAAAAAATCTGTATTTTTTGCAAGGAAATTACTTTGCTTTAAAACAATATATCATGTTTGGCGGTTCAGACACCGTAGTGAAAATGGTGGGTGCTGCAATTTTTTTATGTCACACAGTACTCGCGCAGCGATTTTTCAAATGCAGATTTTTTGCAAAAAATACACTTTTTTTACTTTTAATGCACAAACACACTATATATTGGCCAATTATTTGGTAACATATAAAAGATGACGGTATGCCTAGTAAATGGATACCAAACATGACATGCTTTAAAACTGCGCATGCCCCATGCAATGGCGACAACCTGCATATATTTTTAATATCCATTAGCAACACTTTAAAAGCTTTTACAAGCTACCATTTTATATTTACAGAGGAGGTCTAGTACTAGAATTACTGCCCTTGATCTGACATTTGCAGCGATACCTCACATGCATGGTGCAACCGCTGTTTACATACCGCCACAGGGACAATGCTCACGCACGCGCACTGTCCCTTGCATGTTTTTTTTTGGATCACTTTTAATGCTATCACAGGGAATACAAATATCCCCTATAACTTCAATGGGCATTGTCATATATTCTTTTTTTTTTTTTTTTTTTAGAAATCTCCTCCTTCAGACCCTCCTCTGCCCTTACATTATCTAATCTCGGTGTGATCAGCTGCTTTCCCATTTTACAAATGGCGTTGTTTATATCCTGCGAAACTGAAGTGATGAAATGCTTCTAGCTTCCGACTTCTTAGATTACAGAGATGATAGGCACCATACCGGTCTCCTGATATGGTCATCTGGCAGAAACACCGGCTGCATTCTCAGGTTCCCCCGATGGCACAGGATTGTCCGAGAAGGCCGTGGAAGGCAGCGGGGGAGGGGGGCATTGTCTCCTTGTTGCTTGTAAAAGCACTACTGCAGCTAATTAGCCACTAGGATTGCTTTTACATGAAAGCTGATCGCTGGCTGAAAAAAATGATACCAGGATGATGCCTGCAGCTGTGTTGCCCTCGGGGTGACCCTGAATTTGACCGGCTCTACAAAATTCGGCCCCTCGTAAATCACCTTAACCAAAAATTTGCAGATGTCTATACTCCCTATCAAAAAAATCTGCGTTGATGAGTCCGTCAATTTTTCTGGCCGCCTTCCATTCAGACAATTTCTCCCCCAGCAAGCGTACATACATACATGCATACATCTTGACCCCAGATCTGGCACGCTTGCTGGGGAGAAATTGTCTGAATGGAAGGCGGCCAGAAAAATTGACGGACTCATCAAAGCAGATTTTTTGATGGGGAGTATAGACATCTGCAAATTTTTGGTTAAGGTGATTTACGAGGGGCCAAATTTTGTAGAGCCGGTCAAATTCAGGGTCACCCCGAGGGCAACAGAGTCTGTTGCCGTTGAAATGCATAAAACACATTATACTCTCGTATCTATGCCTGACCATGGCAGCAGAGAACACGGGCATATGATGAATCAGGTCTGCGGACCAATACAACCACAATTAATTTTTTTTAGTAATGCCCATGTTGAGGGTTATCCCCCCCAAAAAAATGTAAATTTGGAAACCGTAATGGGTTTCCATGCGAATGGTCTGGCAAGGTTTGAATTTGGGTTGGCGGAGATAAATTGTTGTGCATATAAATTGCTTTGATCCACAATCAATGCATACAGATCTTCTGTGAAAAACAGCTCCAAACAATCAAGGGGAGTAGTTAAATTTGCTGTTTCCACCTGAATTCTGGGTTGGGCAGTGAATGGGGGACATACGGTGCTGATTCTGTGAATGCTGCGGTGCAATGCATCAAGTGACAGTGACCTACTGACACTGCACTTGATGGGGGAGAAAGTGTAGGGGCTAAATGCAGGTGCTGGCAGGTGCTGGGGCTGATCCCTTTAACACTGTATTTTTGGGGACACTATACTAATGTTAACACTGGTATAGTGCTGATCTGATCAAAGATATTGATCCGTTCAGACACTATACTAGCAATGAAGGTTTATTGTGTATGAGCGTGTTCCTGGCAATCAAGGGGTTAAATATGATTACTGGTGTACTGATGGGCAATCTGACGCTATCTTGGAGGAGGCGTGAAAACCACGGGTGCGCCCCTGTGTCACCCTGTATCAGTTTTTTTGCTATAGGGCGGTCAGGAAGCGGTTTGATTTATAGCACTGCATTACTCTAACTGACAATTGCGCGGTCATGCAACGCTGCACCCAAATTAAATGTATTTATTTTTTTCCCACAAATTGAGCTTTTTGGTGGTACTTGATTGCCTGTGCTTTTTTTTTATTTTTTGTACTGTAAAAAAAAAAAAAAAAAAGACTGACAATTTTGAGAAAAAAACTATATTTTGGACTTTTTGCTATAAAACATGTCCAGTAAAAAAATTTAAAGATCAAATTTCATCAAATTTAGGCCACAATGTATTCTCCGGCATGTCTTTGCTAAAAAATAATCCCAATACGTGTAAATTAATTGGTTTATGTGACGGTTATAGCATCTATAAATGGCGGTATAGATACTGGAATTTTTTTTTTTATACTAATAATGGCGGCAATCAGCGACTTATGTCAGCGATCAGCGACTTATGACAGGACTGCGGCGGACATTCTGACACTGGGGGGAACTTGGATCACTGAGATCTCCAGTGACACCAATACAGTGATCAGTACAAATAAAAAAAGCACTGACACTGTACTAATGGCACTGGGGAGGAAGGGGTTAACATTGAGAGGCAATCATAGGGTTAACTGTGTGAGGGGAGTGTTTTACTAGGGGACGGGGACAGGGGGGGTGTGCTTCACTGTAAGCACACTGATCGGGATGGCTGAGCTCAGCCATCCTGAGCAGTGTGACCAAACTGACAGGGAAGAGAGCTCCATTGTACACAATGCAGCACTCCTCCCTGTCAGTGTTTGCCGGTAATCACCGGGCTCCGGCGGGTAATCATCTGGAGATGCAAAATCACACACACACATATATATATATATATATATATATATATATATATATATATTAATGTGATTTTGGGCAGCAGTGCCGCCCTGCCTCAGGATATATGCTGTGGCTGGTCGGCAAGCAGTTAAATTGCAATGCATTATTTAGTTTTCTCTAGAATTGCCAAACTCATTATATACTCCTGGAGTAAAAATCTAATATGTTATTATTTATGGTATTTAAGGTTTGAATATGCACTACAGACACAGATTTAGGCGTTGTGATATATAATGTCTTTGTAAATAAAACCAAGTTTTATAAACAAATAAAATATTGCTTTTTGACAAAGAGAAGTGCAACTTTAAAATATAAAAAACCCAAAAAAACTGTAAACTTTATTGGCTTTAGTGCCATTGCACATATTACCTAAATATATTATCAACATTAAATATTAAGAAAAAATTAAAAAAAAAACATCTTTTTCATCTTTTTTTTTAATTCTTATGTGGTAATGCAGTGTTAATATTGACATCAAATTTTGATTTAGTCTTAGTCATACAGTCTTTTGACTAAAATGCCATTTTAGTTATAGTCATATTTTAGTCTTCTGAATTGTTTTATTTTAGTCGTATTTTAGTCAACTAAAAACGTTTTAAATTTAGTTGACGAAAATATTTTAGCCAATGAAATTAACACTGCTGACTACAGCTGCCAGCTGTCAAACCATACCATCATGCCTTTTTCTCATGTACAGGGCCATATAATAGGTATGAGATATCCACTAAAGCAATTTTTTCATTAACAAAAGGCAAAACTATTCAGTAAAAATAATATACCCTTCATCATGTGTTAACATTATCTACTACAGTTAAAATATAAAAATTATTAATGCAACATCTAGGTTTTACTGAACTGTACAAAAAACTTCTATATAGCTAAAAAGAAAAAAAATTACATTATACTGTATATTTGAAACTAAAAAGTATTCTTTGAGTTTCTTGAGGTAAAATTATCTGCAGCCATTGAAAAGGGCTTCCAAACAGCTGTGGCATTCATCCATTACATCATATGTGTATACATTTATTTTAGACATAAAAATAGCACAACACTTGACAGCGTTGAGTACAGAGCCCCTCCTACTACTTTGTGTTCATCGGTGATGAGATCTTTAAAGAGTCTGTGTCTGCAAGGCAATAAGGCTTTATTGGCTGAAATCCAGTAAGTGAAACTGAGAAGTTCATTCACTAAACATACACACCAATTTCAAAGGATTTAAATGACATAAGGGCTCATATTTAACACCACTGACTACAAAAGCATCACAGCACTAAGATCTTGCATAGCAGTCACCTACCAGCTGTCTTCATCTCCATCTCTCAGCATTAGCTTCAATGGATCTGAATTGCAGGACCAAGCTACAGTATGTGGCACTGTTTTTTGCATTGTTGGGGTGTGTGCTTACCTGTGTCAGCACTTTTGTGCCTCTCTGGAGGAATCTGAACTTAGATCTGAATGAAATGGAAATTTGGAACACAGGACTTTGGCAAACGTGTGTTATCCAAGATGAAGGTCCAATGGAGTGCAAGGACTTTGAATCATTTTTGGCATTGCCAATTGAGCTCAGGATGGCAAGAATTCTGATGTTCCTCTCAGATGGACTGGGGATCATTGGCCTCATTGTTTCATGCTTTTGTCTGGATTGCCTGAAGATTAATGAAAAGTACACAAAGAAGTACCTTGCACTTTTTGGAGGAGCACTATTCTGGCTATCTGGTATAGCTGCTCTGGTGCCAGTTTCGTGGATTGCCCATGACACTGTTCAGGAATTTTGGGATGAGACAATCCCTGAAATTGTGCCCAGGTGGGAATTCGGAGAGGCCATGTTTATGTGCTGGTTTGGCTCTTTCTTCCTCCTATTTGGGGGGTCATTGCTGTTCTGTTCAGTGCACCCTGTGACCAAACAAACAACTATAAGGGACCAGACTAAAACCATTGACAGTGGGCTATTATATGACACTGCAACATTACAAAACAGATGTCCAGATCTTATCATCTAAACTCCATGGAAATGAATTATTCAAGAGCAATTTAGCAAGTGTGGCACAGAACAAACTGTGTTTTATGCATGGCAACATTTTCTGTATTTTGCAATTCGAGACTGCCTTAGCATCAAGCTACTAATCTGCAATAGAGGACAGTCATGTCTTGTTATCTATATACATTGTACATATGCTGTTGCATTGCACATGGGTATAGCATATCGCAAAATAAATGTCTTTTTCTGGGCTCTTGCAATTTTAATGTTATTTACAGAATCATTTTGTGTGCAGTGCACATGAAGCATATGATGACTTTGCCAAAATATAAAAATTATTAATTTCCTTATGTTTAATTTAATAATGATAAAATAATGTGTACTGTTTTTAATTCTACTGGCCTGCAAAATATGTTTCATAATTAAATTAGAGAATATTTACCTTAGGAGACTCTTGCTAGCTTCTGCCTCGGGACATGGCTGACTTTTGTCTTTTCACAGCTTAAACAAAGAACATTTAATATGTGGGAGCTTGAAAAGTGCAGATAACTCCAATAAGAGTATTCTGTCCTGTACACAGGTCCCATTGCTGGAGCTTAGATAGAGCTTCTGGACGATAGGCAGGTCAGTCATTTCTTCAGTTACCAGAGATACAGGATTGCTGGGAACTTAGCACTTGAAAGAAGAAATACGGGTGTGTTTCTTATTCATACCAGGCACACTGATGGGATTAGTCTGCATCAGTCATTTTGCAATAATATCACATTAGATGCCTCAACATAAATGTACTTAAGACAGTTTTATTGCCTCAGAAATGCTAAATTACTTACCAGTCAGTAAATTGACATAGATCACTAAACGTGATTTTATAATTCTCTGATGCCTCACACCTGCAAACATTTTAACAAGGGCAATTCCAGCTCTGCCTTTCAATATACATATTCAAACTAAATGTAAAGATTTTATAAGTATGGAATCCACATTTATTTTATTTTTCTAAATAAACAGTGTATGATGTACTAGATGTTGGCGATAAAGGGATTTACTTAAAAGTGTCAGTTCATTGTCTTTCCTTCAGTTTTATTATTTTGAACTTCATTTTGATAGTTTAGTTTGTTGGTTATTGCTTCAATTTGCCTCTTTCAGATTTACAGGTTTCTGTTAATTTTTTACATCACATATTTTATTTCTTTACAGCCATCTGTGGTAAATTCAGAACTTCACCAAGAAAACTTGCCAATTTAATATGACATTAATAATGTGGTATACTGTATGTCAGTTCTTACGGGTGTTGTTTTTTTTTTCGTCACCAGGGGCGGACTGACCATTTGGAAACTCGGGCACTGCCCGAGGGCTCGGGGTCAGTATGGGGCCCCATGAGATGCCCCTGGTACCTTTTTCATAGGCTTTTTGAGTTTGGGCAAGGACACAGGGGCCCCATGATCCCCTATTGCCCGGGGGCCCCATGAGTTGTCAGTCCACCCCTGTTTGTCACTTAAAGTTTTTCTTTTAACTACTCTAATTTTTTAATGCTTTTCTGCACTTTTTAAAGCCATGATATTTTAAAAAAAAAAAAAAAAACTTTTACATCCTACAAGCTAGGTTTTAGAAATACCTGGTAAACAGATTCCAAAGTCCTTCTGGAAATCAGAGGTGTAAGAGAAGTGAGAGGGTGCATGCAAAGCTTGAGCATCTCACAACTCTTTTAAAAACTGGAACTTAAAGTGGTTGTAACCACCCCCCTCCCATTAGTTGATAATGATGACCTGTGAAAGCATGTATCTCCCCTCCTTCTCTGTTAGTAAAGAAAAGCACATAGTGTCATCACGGTCTGCTGAGTAATTCCCGAGCTAGGCTATTTAGGGAGTGATCTGTGTGGATGGCTGTGGAACACACACCCCCTTCTCTCATGTTCATGCATGAGACTCCTAATTAGTCTGTCAGTCACAGGAGAGGGGGTGTGGTGACACAATTTTTTTTTCCATGTGTCGGGTTTTTTCACTGTAGGAAAGCATTCCAGATTTCAGATGATTCACTGCTCCTTTTTTGGCCAGACTAGGGACAGATGACGTCTGCTGCTATGCTGTGTGAGGTAGACTGGTCATTTCAATCTTGATTTTTTTGGGTTTACAACCACTTTAAAGAGGTTTTAAACCCAAAAGCAAACATTTATTATATTGCAGCTTACTAAATTTTAGATGTGATGGTTGCATTTGTTTTCTTTTTTAGGCTCGATTTCCTTTATTATCATTTGGCTATCCAGCCAGTAAGTCTGTTTCTTTTTTAACAGAAAAACGCTATAATACAAATGTAGTAGCCATTACGTCTGTTGTTTTTCAACAGAAAAAGCTATCTTGCAAAAGTAGCAGTTAGAGGCTTGTGACAAACTATTTACCACTGATAGTGTGCTTACAATGATCAACTTTTATTTATGTAAAACCTTTATCTCAAAAGGAAACACGTTTGCTATAACTGCATTTAAAATATTTAGCTGGATTTTGGCTTCAACATGTTAGTGTCTAAATCTGTTAGTACATCTAACATTCCTCTTCCTTAAAACTGAGAACCCTGCTGTCCAAAGGGGTCTCCATGCTCCTTCATTCAGAGTGGTGGCACTCTAATACAGGAGATATTTTACTGGCCAAATCACCAGGTGAAAACAGAGGGAAAAAAAGCCTAAAAAAAGAAAGTGAATGCAGCCACCACGACTAATGATTGGTAAACTGCCAAATATAATATGTTTGGTTTTGGGTTTAATACTGCTTAAAGAGTTGACTTTAGGCAGGAGACAAAATGCTATAGAGACATTAAAAGGTGAATTAAAGATGGATGGAGCTGTTCTTACAGATGTAACATCCATCACGAGTGTGCTTCATTTTACACAAGGGCTCTAGGAAACTTAGAGCACAAAAATGATCAGCTAATTTGAGGCAAAAGTTTAGGATCTCCCAAATAGGTGGAGTGTTCCGTATTTACTGCTCACTGATCTATATTACGGAGGTCAGCTTAACAATGACAAAGCTACGGAATTACGTTCAGTTGATAATTTCACTTGACATGTAAATTGCACTTATAAATTATATATTTAATAATATATAAATATATCAATATTTTTTACCATTTGGAAGTTTTAATAATTGTAATAATCTTTTGATTATTTTGATCTTTTGGATAGAATTAACAAAAGCCCCTCCCACACATAGATTTTTTCCTCTATTATTTCTTAGGGTTCTGCTGCCACTTTGAATTTGTTCCTATTAATTCCTATATAGAGCTCTTGCCACTTATTCTAAAGACACCCCTTTTAATGGGCCACGGGACTAAGATTGAGCTCTGCAGTCACTCTTGCTGCAGTAGTTTTCTTATTCTGGGTCACAATCCAGTGCAATACTTTTGTCTCTTTCAGTCAGTTGACCATGTCGACTTTGCTTATGCTTATCAGACAACATTTTTCCAAAACTGTATGTTGTTATAACCTTTAATACTGTACCTCACGACATGGCAAATAAATTGGCAACTTCAGTCACAGAGGCAGCAACAATTTGCCCTCTTTGAAGTTCAGTAAGCTCTGACATGACTCTGTATTACTAGCAGCATACACAGTGAATGACGAAAGTGAGGCTTCCCACCTGTTAGCTAGGTGTGTCATCACACAGAAGAAGCAAAAGAATGTTACATTACTTCTGCTTTCAGCGCAAAATATGTTGCCACTTTAACACCTGCAAATCATGTAGAGTTTCCATTTTTTGTCTAAGCCTTGTACTTGTTATAAATTCTTTAAACTTCTTCTGTTACTACCTGGTTTCCAGGCCTAGACAAATGATATCATACATCCCAGGAGCCTACAGAAGGGGGTTTCTCAGCTAAGCACATCCCCCTTGTCTGCGAGCCTGAGCTAAGGATTGATGGATTCCAGGGAGTAAATGCTACATGAATCATCTGCCCTTACTCAAGATGGCCACGACCAGAAATGCTAGGGGATGTTTTTCAAAGTGATTTCTCAGCAAAATAAAGCATGGATACATGGATTGATGGGGGAGACTGCTTTGAATAATTCAATTTTGGTTTGTGGTACTCAGATACAGTGTAGTTCCATTGTTACACCTTTTTTTATCCTAGTGATTATGAAGAAAAATCACTTATTTGCAAACTTTTATAGCAGAAACTAAGAAAAACACTTTTTTCAAAAATTTTCACTCTTTTTTAGTTTATATTGCAAAACTTTAAGAAAAAAAAAAACAGTGAATAAATATCACCAAAAGGATGCTCTATCGGTCTTAAAAATGATAAAAAGAAATGTTTTTTGGGTACAGTGTTGCATGACAGAGTAATTATCATTCAAAGTATGAGAGCACTGAAAGTGAAAAATTGGCCTGGGCAGGGAGCGGGTAAAACTGCCTGGTATTGAAGTAGTTAGAAATGCTGATCAAATGAAACAAACACATGGTACTGACACACATGTGAATGAGCCCTAACAGAAAAATCTCAGGTGATTGGATACATTTTAACTGCAGTGTTTTAAGAAAGACCTCCCCTTAGCTACCAGCTTGAAAATAAATATATCCACATAAATGACTGAAGGAGCACTCAAGGATCCTCTGCTGACCACAATAGGTCTCCCTTGTGGGGACATATGATCCTAGTATACTTTAGGTAAGGCATACAATACAGGTGTTGTAGGAATTCCTCTGTTAAATATGTTACTGTGTCTTTTTCAATTATCCCCGATTTTAAAAGCTGTACCACTGTAGGATTCATAGTTAACCTTTTGTACACAGCGGGATCCATTAATCGTCACAATATTACTTTCACGTAATACTGAAAATGCATAATGCCTAATGGTCTGCTCTTGTTGGCCAGAGGATAATTGTGGTTCATCTCTAACTAAATCTCCCATACCCTTAATTCTTGTTAGCTTCCTTTAAAACATTTCAAATCAGTCCTAAGTTGCTAGAAAATGTTCAGTATATTATTCACCTTAGTAACAAATAATTTCACCAGGGAGTACTGTACATGGTGAGT